TCCTACCAATTTACTGCTCTTAGCTCTTCCTCCTACCACATTTTTGCACGACTTTCCACTATTCCCCAAATCTAGTATAAAAATGCTCAGTTTAACAGTGTCTTTGAATCTTCATTTCCCTATGAAAGCTCCTGTGTTACAAAAAACTTATATTAAATGCATAACTGGATGCTCAACTGTTAATGTGTCTTTTGTAGCAAGACCATCAAAAACCAAAGGTAGAAGGACAAAGGTATTTTTTGCTCACCTATAAAGCAAAGTCACAGTAAAAAACTACAGTGAAAATTATTTTATGTCATATGCATCTTTCTATACTAAGCTCTGGTTTCTAATGCCTACAGCAGACTTTCTCAAGTTTTAAAGGAGTCATTGGGCTTCTTAATATGACCTGTGCTCTGCTGTAACATATATGCAAGAAGTCATGTTTCAACCTGTCTCCCTATGCAATTAAGTCAGCAATCCAAGTGCATAATAAGGTTTCTGAGCAACCGTTTTGGTACAATAGGTCTGGGGGGAGGGCAGCAGGGCCCCACTGTGAACTCACTCTGTAGCCCAGGCTGGACTCAAACTCATGGGGATCCTCTTGCCTCAGCCTCCCAAGTCTGGGATTACAGACAGGTAGATGCTACCATACCCAGCAATATGTCTTTTGAATTATAATAAAGATTGAATTTTGTAATTCTTAATGTTTTATGTATCATGAATAACTGATTTCTAGAATTTAAACCAGAGTGGTATAGTCTATCCCTAAATCTGTATCTTAACTTATTGTCCTAACCCTTCTCTTCACTTTCTAGTCTTTATTTCCATCTAATGGCATTATTGTCTGAATCTGTACTAGCAGCAGATGCCATCTGATTTCCTAACTGGCATTAGAAGAACTTTCCTGAACTCTATGGTAGCACGCAGTTTAGGCAGACTAACTCTAACCTCTGCCGGATGAGGAGGATGGGGGACTAGGTGATCAAGCCGATGACCGCATTCCTCTGACTACTGCAGTCAAGTCAAGGGAGGGCTCATCAGAGAAGAGCTCAGCATTCCTGGTCCACTGCTGTGGGAAGCACCCTGTCTCTCCAAAGGTATAAACAAGGCATGTGGCTCTTACTGCTCAAGGTAGCAATCTTACAACTAAGGATATCGGCACAGTAAGAAGGCATGAGCAGGAAAGTTGGTGAATTCGCAATCAGAATAAACCACAACTAAATGCTATGTTACTTCCAGACTTTTCTATTAAACAAATAAGTATACCTTGTTTATATGCAACCAAGAGCATTCTGATGGAGCCCCAAAAGAAAGCATAAAGGAATGTTCAATATAACATTTCTCAAACTTACATAAAATTGCTGTTTCTTCCTTAATTCAAACTATTGTGATAAATGCTCCTTTCTGCAATTTCATTACACTGCAAACCCCATTATCTGTATTTTGTTTACACTCAATTAGATCAATTTTTATATTTGACCACTTTTATCTTTTAGTTAAACATTTTATTTTGGAATAACTGTACAGTCAGAGTTTTGCCTTTTAAAAATACAGGCACAAGGGCGGGGGATGTAGCTCAGTGGCACAAGTGTCTGTCTGGCAAGTGCAAGGTCCTGAGTTTGATTCCCAGTACCAAAAGAAAACACAGGTACATAATAAATACATGAAATGTATAAATATTAAATATAAAAATATATAAATTAATATATTGATTAAAAAAGAATACTGTCATATGAAATGGCAAAAAGTTTAAAAAGAAATTTCCCAACCTATCTCTTCCCTCCCAAAAAGCACCAATCTCATACCAAGAATTTAGAGACTAATGCAAGAAAGGTAAAAACAGTAAAAAATTTCACCTAATACTTTTAGTATTTATACTTTAAGACCTTTTTATCAAAATGTCAATGCTGATGAATTTTTTTATTTGATATAATTATCACCTGCTAAAGAGGCTGGAGGAGGAATAACATAATTCCCAACCTTATACCATGCTTCCAGCTGGCCGAGAGAAGGGTAACCAAAGCTACTGTGAAGTGGGGGCCAGAGGACACAGCTGACAGCAGGCAGGGCAGTGGTGGTTTTAGCACTCTGAATTCTCACGGAAACAAAAGGTTTCCCAGGGCAGGCAGCGGAAGTTTCCTTAGGACCAGTGGAGAAAAGCAACTTCTTCGGTCAACTTTACATTAGCACAATTTTGTTTTTTTTTTTAGGCCTTACTTATTTTTATACATTTTCAAAAGTAGAACAATAACATATGTTCAAGAGCTGCTCAAATTCAACCTATTTTTCACATATATCTATTTTAAACAATAGGTATAAATCTACAAATATGATAGAGTAGCAGCAAGCCACATCAGTAAAATCAGTGGTAAATCCTCTCTAGAAGCAGAAAAGACTACACACTCATATGAAAAAAGCCATTAACACTCTCAACTGGAAATTTTATTTACACAGACATTGTTAAGAGAAGTACACTGTCACACTGCTGTTTTAATATACCTATTCTATTTGTAAGAGTTGCTTCTGAAAATAATCCAGGACACATGTACATTTCCTTTCAAGTTGTACAAAGTAACATCTCAAAGGTAAGGCTTCTGATACCAGTTTCATCAAAGCTAAGGCAGGACAATTTAAGAGACTTTGAACAAATCACCCAGGACTATTTAGTATTCAACTACTATCATTCTACTTATGAAGATAAGAATAACCCAAGTAGCGGGGCATGGTGGCAAACTATGTAATTCCAGAACCCTGGAAGGCTGAGGCACAATCTCAAATTTCAGCTGAGCCTCAACAACATACAAAGACCCTTTCTCAAAATTAAAAAATAGACAAAGGGCTAGGAATATAGCTCAGTGTAAAGGCACTGGGTTCAATTACCAGTACTGGAAAAAAAAATTAACCCAAATGATACAGCCTAAAATCTACTGAATTGGGCTGGGGATGTAGCTCAGTGGCACCAATGCCTGCCCGGCAAGTGCAAGGTCCTGAGTTCGATTCCTGGTACCAAAAAAACAAATAAATAAATAAAAATCTACTGAATTCACCTGAGCCAGCAGGTGCTAGGCAATGGGACTGGGAAGACAAAGTTTTTTTAGGGATGGGATTTCTGACCTGTTAGGCAGAAGGGCAAATGGCACAAGAAAGCATTCCAGGCTTAGTGCAAAACGCACACAGGAATCTGCAAATGGCTCAACAATGAAGTGTAAGGGCAACCAGCAGGAGATTAAGTGAGGAGCACAAAGCTCTGGGCATGCGACACTGCAACACACACCAGAGAAAGTCACTTAAAACTCTAAGGAACCGAATTGGCAGTGCGAAGGACAAAATAATTTTTTAGAGCGCACTAATTTTTCAAAGAAAAATGAAGCAAGGAAGTCAGCTCAGAGTGGAGAAGAACAAGGGATCCTAAAGGTTAAGGCAAAAGAGGGCATGGAACAGCTCTTTTGGAAAATGGCAGAGACTTTAATCAACCAGTGTCTGAAGAGCCTGGCAGCACCGAGCCTCACTACAGTGATGTGATCACAATGTCAATGTTCAATCACAATCCTATGTGACATTCTCTAATAAGGTTCAGGCACTCAGACGCACACTGGAGGCAGTGGGGTTTCACTGGGCTGGACATTCTGCAGAGCAAGTACTAGGCAGGGAACACAGGGCAGGGAGTTATAAAGGTTGGCAAACAAATGTTCACAGGACTACAAAAAGTAAACTGAGAATCAAAAGAAGCAAAGCTACGTGGAAGTCACAGTAAGAAGTGGCTGGTGGCGTCACTGCACCAAGTTCTCAATGTGTTCAAAGACAGCTAAATGAGCAGGGCCAGTAAAGTTAGCAAGCTAGAATCAGAGTGATCAGAAAGGGGGGAACTTTATATACAGGATTAGATTTTAGAGACAACAAAAAGATGATTGGCCTTAAGAAGGACAAGGAAATGGGTAAAAGGCTGAATTTTTAAACAGCAACCTTGGGTTGGGGGTATAGTGGTAGAGTGTATGCCTAGTCTTGGGTTCAATCCCCAGCACCACATTAAAAGAAGAACAAGTCAAATGCCAGTGCTATCAGATGCCACGGTACTAAACACTTGCTGATAGAAGTCATCAAATATTTACTTGGCTTCGAGCTTTTAATTATTTTATTCTGTCATTTCAATCACCCCTGGCAGTGAGCTGAAGAGTATGGAAATGTTTGTCTGTGGTACTGGAGACTGAATCCAGGGCCTTCACACTGAGCCATCTCCTCAGCCCATTTTTTGATCTTTATTTTGAGACAGATTCTTCTTAAGTTGCTAAGATGCCCAGGCTAGGCTTAAATTTGCAATCCTCCTGCATCAGCTTTCCAGAGATTACAGGTGTGTGCCACCACATCTGGCTGAATATTAAATTTTAAATTCCAAAAGAAAAGGAAAAAAATCCACAGGAAATTTTTAAAGGAAATTTAGGTTTGATTGAGCCTTTCTTGAGCAACTGAAACCTGTATCTTAGAACATTAAACTCTGTCACTGAGGTCCTTCTCCTTACATGTACCTTGCCCTGAACTTCTAAGCGCTGTGCCGTTTCATGTGTCGTAACAAAAATGCCATCACATCTGCAGGGGCTTTACTTTTCAAATCTGAGTTTTAACTCTGACAACAGAGTCATTTCCCTGGACTCACAGTAGGCATTTAACAGTTTCTGACTGATTCAGTCTAAGATCGCCCATATAGGTCATATAATTTTACAACAGACAAAATGTCTACAGTACGAAGTGTCATTTACTAATGAATTGGGGTTAGAAAAACCTTTCAAATTGTTTTAGCTACTTTTTAAATTCTACTTTTGTTGTACTGAGGATCAAACCAAGGCTGGGATTTATGGATGATATTAAACAAGCACTTAACCACTAAGCTGGAACTGTAGCCTTATTTTAATTTTTCTTAAACAGAAATCTTTACATGCGAAGCAAAGAAAGTAGAGTTCTTTCTCTACCCAAGAAAAGCCCAAATAATTTTTAAAATAACCAAATAAAGTTCCACATTTTACCTCGGTAATAGGCCTTTGTTATAGCATCAAATTCCTCTTGACCTGCGGTATCCCATAACATTAATCTGACATCTTCATCATTAACTCTGAAAGAAGAGATAAATTTATTCAATATGTAAAAATATTTTTATAGTACAGCTTTGTACATCTTTTTATTTTTCCAATACACATATATTTAAACTACACTGTTAGTTTCACTCTGAAAAAGTCTGAGTCATTAGTTTTAAATGCTGAGAGTATGCTCCACAGAGAAAGCAAAGCTACAGCTTTACATAGTTTTTTCCTTCAACAGCAGTCACCAGCAGCAGGGGCTCAAAGACTAGCAGGGAAAAGGGAATTCCCGCAGGCCGGCGCGTACACTCCTCTCACTGCACCCTTCTAATAATGGCCTCTAGTGCCCTGGTGACAGAAGGAGACTATAAAAAAGCCACAGCCTGCCTGCTTGGTTGTCCTCCCAAACATTTCTTCTTCTTTGTCATACAGCTGACTCTCATTGGGGGCAGTAGTTATATTCTATGTTTTCATTATTTTTTTTTAAGTTCTGGATCAAACCTAGGGTTCTGCACATGCTCAGCAAGAGCTCCACTACTGAGCTATATCCCCTGGTCTACACTGTCACTATGAAGACTGAATTAGCAAATACTGACCCACAGTGCTTCAAGGGGAAATGCAGGGTTAGGTTCCTGGGAATCCCTTGTTGTATTTTCATCAACTGGTCAATACACAACCTTGCTTTATGTGTTTCTGAAGACATCTTATTAATACATTGTTAATTCATTAACACTGAATTCACGCCCAAGAGCTCTACAGACCTAGAAAAGCTTGTTTACCACAAGTGTTTCCTCCTTAGGGCGCATCACACACTCTGGCACTTAGGGACAGACAGCACTTCAGCACTGTGCTCACAGGCCATTTTAAAGAGTAAAGTCACCCAAAAAGCACAAAAGGTGAAAAATGTGACTACGATGATATAAAAAGAACATGCATTTACTGTATGACACCTGAAACAAGAAGAATACATCCTGCTTGACCCTTGCGAGGAAAGTACATGTTGGGCAATTAACATTTTTTTGCTGCTCTGTACCTATCTATAAGTGACCATAAGAGCACTATAAATATTGATACTGGGGTTACAAATCAATTTTATCAAGTAGGTGAATTTGCAATTAACCTATTATTAATGAGGATCAACTACATACTTAAAATATTAATTTGGTTTCATATATTAAGTACAAAAAATAAATCATCAAGAATTAAAATGTGGGGCTGGGGATTTAGCTCAGCGGCAAAGTGCCTGTCTGGCAAGCGCAAGGTCGTGAGTTCGGTTCCCGGTACCGGAGAAAAACCAAAAAAAAAAAAAAAAAAAAAGAATTAAAATGTGTCCTCTTAAAATATATTCTAAGAAAGGAAGCAAATGTGGAAGCACACAAAAGCATCACATTAAAAATTATTATTTAAAACAATGAACACAATCATATTTGCTTGATGTTACTATCTGAGCCATTAAGTGAGGTTTGGTTAATGTTTCTTACTTCTGTAATACATTTTAGTTTGTTTCCTATAATCTGAAAGTCTTGAAAGATCTCAAGAATAATGACAAAAATATTACTCTAAAGTGATGTAGAATCTAACTGGATTATCTGAAATAAGATTTCCTTTTCATAAGCAAATTTAATCCTCCCAAATCTGTTTTCTTTTATTTCTTTAGAGTAAATGTGAATTATTAATTTTCTAACTTCTGTGTATACTTCTCAAGAGAAGAGACATTCTAAACAAAAGAAACCTATAACATAGGACATGAAGGCTGGTGTGGTGGTGCACACTCATAATCCCAGCATTCAGGAGGCTGAGGCAGGAAGATTCCTGTGAGTTCAAGACCAGCCTGAACTATGCTACATAGTGAGATCCTGTCTCAAAAAGACTAAAAAAATAAATAAATAAATAAAAAGAGAAACATGAAAACTTTATTTTGAGATATAGACAACTTCCCTTCTACATAAAATAGCAAATGTAAATCTCATTAGAGTCAAGCATCAGTTTATGTTTGAGACACACAAAGGTGTAACTAATACACAGCACATTGTAAGGAAGAAAAAAGGGAAAAGAAAGTAGAAGAAAAATGAAAATAAATGGTACTAGAAAAGAGATGATGAAAAAAGAAAACAATACATAGGCCACCAGCAGTAGTCCATTCAGCACTGCCACTAGTGGCCTAACCTTGTAATTAATCACAAATACTGTTACTACAAAGAAAGTCTTAGACATAGTTCACATATCAAAACCAAAGGAATCAAAGAGCCAAGTACATACTGTATTTGTCGCTCCAAAAAATCAACTCCAATGGTTTTCTTGTAGTCTTTTGTAAAAATGCCTTTGCAGTATCTCTGAATCATACTTGATTTCCCAACTGCTCCATTCCCTACAACCACCATCTTGATGGCCACTTCCATATCTTCCTCCAACATTTTTGAAGTAGAAACGGTTTCTTTATCAACTCGAATTCCAGGTATTAACTCTTCTCTCAGATCTGTGATTTAAGATGAAATTATTTTTTCATAACACAAAAATTGTACAAACTACCAGGTTTATCAAGAAATAGTTATAATGTATTACAAGAATTTGTTTCCAAGACTGAGGCCTTGGCTCAACCTCTTTCAGACAATGCAAATTTTTTGAAAGGTGAAATGATTAAATCTTAATACTTTATCAGCAGTATGAAGCATGATACTCAGGTACTACTAAATGCCTAGATCCGCTTAGCTCTCTCTTCCACAGAGACGAAGACTACAAAAAGTGAATTTGAGGCTCAATTTAAAGCTGCCACTTACTAGTTCTGTCCTCTGAGTAGTTATTGCTTAACCTCTTGGCTTTAGTATCCTGGCAATAGTATCTGCTTCACAGGGTTGTTGATACATAAAGAACTTTCCATAGTTGAAAATGAGTTTGCAAAAATTAGTACAGTTACACAGTAAGGCCCCCATAGTGTATCACCAAGCAGGCAACAAATATGAAATCTGAAGAACTCTTTTTCAACCTCATAGGTAATACTTATTATCTCCAGAAAAGTGGCCCAAAGAAAGGCTTTGCATAATAATATGCAAATATGTATCAGCACTGGGCTCTTAGTTACACTGTTTTAGTGTTTAGCCTGCAATGAATCTTGTACAAATAATCTTATACCATGCATTCTTTACTTTCACACTATAACTATTTGTAATGAAAGTAACAGAATGTGCACTCTTTGTGTTTTAGACTGAAAGAAAAGAAAGTTAATTTCTTCATATTTTTTCTTAAAATTACTAGTTAGGCTCCTACCCATTTAGCTATTATATTCCACCTGCCTTACTGAAAACCTGTCTATATAATCATTACAGAAAATGAGTCTGAAATATGAAGAATCTTTCTTTGTTCTCTACAGACTCTCAACAATTGCCCCGAGAACTTCAAAAACTTGCATGATCATAAGATTCACCTAGGAGAACTTGTTAAAGATGGGGTTCTGGGTCTCCAGCTCAGATAATACAAAATCTCAGAGAAAGGGCTTTGGAATCTGGTTTCAAAAATAAGTACAGAAGCCGAGTATGGTGGTACATGTCTTAATCCTAGCACTTGAGAGGCTGAGACAGAATGATTGACAGTTCAGTGCCAGCCTGAGCTACAAAGCAAGGCCCTATCTCAAAAAATTAAATACATAAATAAACAGAATAAACACAGAAATGTGCAGCTTAGCTCTCCCTTAAAAAGAGATGCTCTCTGGCAGTCCTTAGCTGCCACAGCTTCAGGACCCACTACACTGCCCACCGCTCGTGAAGCTGTGTTCTCCTCAAGGGCAAACACTAAGCCAGCAGGACAACTAGGATCAGGGCCTTTTCTGACCAATGCTGAGATTCCTCTTTGAGGATTCCCTATCAAATTAAAAAACTAGACAACCTTTTATGAACAAAGGTGTGAAACTTCCCAACAAAATATTAATAAACTTAGTTCAGCATATTTAAAAAATAATGTATCACAATCCAGTGAACTTCATTCTGAGAATGTAAGGCTGGTTCAATGCTTGAAAACTAATCAATATAATCCACTACATTAATAGAAAGAAAAACTACATCACAATATCAATTGTGACACAGAGGAAATACTTCATGAAATTTAATACTCATTTGTGAGGTAAAAAAAATCTCAGAAACCAGAAATAGAATAAGACTTCTTCAAATTGATAAAGGGCATTTACCACCCACAACCTAGATTTAACATCATTCTTAATTCCAAAAGACTGCTGTATCAGTCACTTTACTATTGTTGGGACAAAATACCTAATACCCACGAATTAAAGGAGATGGTTACTTGACTCAGTTTCAGGGGTTCAGTCCCCTTGGCAGGCTCAAGGCAGAAACTGCATGGCGGAAGGGCATGTCAGAAAAGCTGCTCCCCCCATGGTAATCAGGACACAAGGGAGGAACCAGGGACAAGGACACACCTTTTCAGGTCATATCCCCCAGTGACTTATTGCTTGCCACCAGGCCCTACCTCCTAAGAGCACATTCTGCTATGAACTGAGCAATGGACTAATCTAGTGTAATCCCACATCACTAACCACAAAACACTAATGAAACTACTCACACACCTAAATAAATAGAAAGATATGGACTGTTTATGAATTGGAAGACTCTACAAAGTAAATCAAGCATTTCTCTCCAATTCTTCAAAGGGTTTCATGCAATGTAATTCAAACCAGAGTACCAGCAGGATTTTTTGTATAGACAAGATGACTAAATTTTACATGGCAAGGCAAGGGAACTAGAATAGCTAACACCATTTTGAGGAAGAAAAAAAATTGGAGGAAATTTATACTGCTCAATTTTAAGACATTTTAAAGCTAAATTACTCAAAACTGTAATTGGCAAAGGGAAAGATACATAAATCGATACAACAGAGAGCTCAAAGTAGAGCCACATAAATATGACAATTGATTTTATTTTTTATTTATTTATTTTTCTGTCTTTTTGAGACAGGGTCTTGCTATGCAGTTCAGGCTGACCTTGAGCTCACTTTGTAGCCCAGGCTGGGCTCAAACTTGCAAAGATCCTCCTGCCTCAGCCTCCCAAGTGCTGAGATTACAGGCGAGCTCCACCACGCCTGGCCGACAATTGATTTTAACGAAGGTGTGAGAGCATCAAGGAGAAAAGGACGCTCATTCAACTAAGGGTGATGGAATAATTCAGTGTTTATGTGCACAAAAAGCAAAACTTTACCTAAACTTCATACCTTATATATTTAAGCCAAAATTGATCACAGATCTAAACGTAAAACTGTAACTTTTACAAAACAAATTTTTAGGAAGAGAAAATCTTGACAAGATAAGCAGAGTTCTCAGACATGATACCAAAAATACAAAAAAAGGAACAACTGATAAGCTAGAGTTCATCAAAAAATTAAAAACAATTGGTGTCTGATAATACCAAGACAACGAAAAGACAAGCTACAGACTAGAAGAAAATATTTGCAGAATGCGTATCTCACATATAATTTGTAGCCAAAACATATAAAGAGCCTTCAAAATTAAACATAAAAACACCAATAACTCAATTTAAAAAATGGGCAAAAAACTTAGCCAGATCTTACCAAAGAGTATGCATGGTGAATGAATACATGAAAAAAACTTCAACACCTTTCATGATTAAAGACACATTAAAACCACCAAATAGGGCAGGGGATATAGCTCAGCGGCACAAGCACCTGCCCAGCAAGCGCAAGGTCCTGAGTTCAACTCCTGGTACCAAAAAAACCCCCACCAGATACTACTATACACCTCGCAGAACAGCTAAATAAAGAAATAATAATAAATAGACAATACCAAGTGCTGGGGAGAAGGCAGAGCAACTGGAACTCTCACATGTTGCTGGTGGGAATGCAAAATGACACAGCCACTCTGGAAAACAGTTTGACAGTTTTTTAAGAATTAAACACACACACAAAAATTAAATAGACACTGTCCATGTATCCTTAAAAGCTCACATACAGCACAAAAGTTCACACCAAAATCTGTACTGTACATATTTTCACTGTACTGTATTTATACTGCAGCTATATTCATAATTGCCTAAAACTGAAAACCACCCAGATGTGCTTCAATGGGTAGAAAAATGGGTAGATGGATGTAGCACATTCTTATAATGAAATACTATTTACAAAACAAAACGGAGAGAGAAAAAAATAAATTATCCATAGGTGAAACAACTTGGAGAAAGGGCAAAAGCATTAGGAGAGTGAAAGCAGTCAGCATCAAAGCTTTCAGACTGTTAGGATGGCACTGAAATGACGTTCCAGAAAGGATCGGTAACAGCAAAGCTTTCGGGATAAGGGCTGTGGTACAACGGGATACCGTGAGTTTTTTGAGGGTGACAGACTATTCTATATTCCGATTAGAGTGGTGGTTATCCGACTCTAAAATTCACGTAAGTGCACACTGCCATAAAGGTCCATTTTTCCATGTGATTAATTTTTAAATGAAATTTGAAAGACAAAAGTGAAAGCAGATTTTAACAGTCTAACTCTTGTGATTCTCAAGCATTACTCTATAAAACACTATCAAAACAATGTTTTTTAGAAAAGCATCATTTTATCATTTGGTTATGCAAATGGTTTTTTCATTAAAAAAAAAAAAAGCGTACTTCTGGGCCGAGTAAGTAAGAACCTTGAGTTGTACGTTATATAAAGACCCTTTACACTCAAACTTAATTTTAATTTTTTTGCCAACCGATGCAGTCTCACGCATCAGGAGAGCAAAGGATGTGCTAACTGGCAGATCAAAGAGGCTGTCTTTTGACAACGTGCCCTTGAATACAGACGCGAGGGTCCGACTCAGGACCACTGCGTGCACGCGCCGGGCGTTACGTAAAGCCCGGCGACGCAGGGCTCCTTCAGCCCGACCGGCTCCCGACCGGGACGCGCTCCCTCGCCCTCGGCTCAGCTCTCGCACCCGCAGGCGGCCCGCGCGGAGCACTCGCGGGAACCCCGACTCCTACCCGGCCCCGGCCCCGGCCCCGAGGGCCGCCGGGCTCCGCTG